TTGTTTGTTTATTGTCTTTTTTAAAATTAATAAATATCAACATTGATCACGTATTCTTTCTTGCTGATCATAAATTCAATCGTTTTCAAACATTCAAATTCACTATTATTTCACTTTTTTCTTCGAATCAAGTCCTGTTAAAGTATCTTGACAGTAAACAAACTTTTTTGTTAGTGACAGTTTAACATGTTGCTATATACTATATTTAAATTTCCATACATTTTGTGAAATTATCCATAGGCTTAAACGCAGTATTACTCTATTCAAAGGCGAGACTATCATTTATGGATGAACCAATCAGATTTAAGATAACAGTTCTTCAATTTTGGCACAAAATTCACTCATCCATTTGGCTAAATAGAGTTTTGGCATTATAGATGATGTCAGTTCGTGATGAAAACCCTAAATGTAATTCCTAACCTTAACCATCAACTGTAAAGCATAATTCTAATTCCTCACACAGGTTTATAACCCTCATTTGGTCCTAGTTATTCGGTGGGCAATCTCAAGGTCGGTTTAGCGTCACTCAAAGGTCATCCATAAATTATAGTCTCACCTTACTAATAATATTCATTTTGTCACAAATTAATCTGATTAATAAAATAAACCCTGGTTCTGAGAAGAGAAGAAATCAATTCATATAGCAAAATACAATCTAACCGAAATTAAAATATAAACAATAGTGTAAGATAAATAATTAACATTTATTTAATAGTTGAGTTCAAATTCAGGCGGCCTGCTTGAATATCTGGGCTACCTGTTTCTGCCATCTGATTATTTCAACAAGTTATCTGTTTTTTATTTGTTTTAATTTATAATTATGTCCATTAATCGCATAACCTATTCAGGCGCTTTTATGAAAAGCTTACGACCTTTCGCTGCACAAGTTACGAAAAAGTACTATAAAAGACATCGTGGTGGTTGGCAATATGCGTTAAAGAGAATGAACATTAATCGTATGTCGATTCCCGAGCTTCTTAATTCTAACTGCCGGTCACTAATCAACAAAGTGGACTATCTGCAATTCCTACTTAGTCAAAATACGTATCGTAATTGTGGTGTCATCACAATTCAAGAATCTTGGTTGAATGGTTTACAGGATGACTGCCTTGTATCACTAAGTGATTTTAAAATTTATTGTCAGGATCGATCGAACAATAAAAAGAGGTCTGGTGGCGGTGTAGCTACGTTTGTAAACATAAACTGGTGTCGATCTTCGTTTGTGTGTTTTAAGTTTTCAAATGACTTTATCGACTGTCTAACTCTAAGATGTCGTCCAAAACATCTAAATAAATACAAATATGTTTATGTTACCAATATCTACGTTACTCCAGATTGCACATCATCTGCACTATCTGATTTTGCTGATGAATTCACTGAGTTCGCTCTTACTGCCTTCAGTGATTCACTTTCAGTTGTATGTGGTGACTTCAATTCATGTGACTGTAGCTTCCTTACGTCACTGGGTCACCAAAATGTAGTGGATTTTCCTACCCGTTTGGATGCTTATCTAGACTTCGTCTTCATTAATGATGTGGGTATATATGCGACTCGTAAACGTGCTCCATTGTCTAGCTCAGATCACTGTATAATTCGTGTTCTACCTAAAGTTTATGGAAAGCATGAGAAGAGTACACTCTTACGTCAAACCAAGAAAGTCAAATATAGGAATTACTCAGAAGAAAATATCCGAAATCTGAAAAGCATGTTTCATACGACAAACTGGGAATTATTTACAGATGACTCACTCGAAAACACTACTGATGTTATCACTTGTTACCTTAAATTCTGTTTTGATATTTGCTGTCCCACTGAAACCATTTTTGTAAGTTTTGATCGATTTACATCTACACAACTAAAACGACTACGAAGGAGGAAAGAAAGTATGTACAAGGAGAAGAACTCTAATGAAGTTCGTAAGCTAAATGGTTTGATAAAGCTAGAGATTAGACGTCTCAACTGCATGTTTACTCAAAAGCTCTTATCTTGCAGAAACACTCCAAGTATGTAGAAACTCTTTAAAGAACTTACAGGCGACAGACAGTTTAGAAGCGATAACCAGCTGAATGTTAGTGACTTAAATAAGTCTTTTGTTCGTCAGTCATCTGATGTGATGCTGCCTCTATCCACGGGTTTAAAAAATAGCTGTGTTCCTACTTTCACTGAAACTGATGTACGAGGATGTCTCCGATCGCTTAATTCATCTCGATGTTTGGGACCTGATGGTATCCCAAACATCCTTTTTAAAAAATGTGCTGACGTTCTGTGTCATCCGTTCACAACTATATTTAACAGATCCTTCTCATCTAATCTCATACCGAAAACGTGGAGAAAGATGAAGATAATTCCTGTACCCAAGAAAGCATCTGGTGATAAGAATGTAAAATTTAGACCTATTGCAATAACTTCACCCTTCCTCAAAACCATGGAAAAATTATTAATACTTCCACTTCAGCTTGCGATAAAAGAGCATACTGACCCATACCAGTTTGCATACAGGCGCAAAAGAAGCACTTTAGATGCTGTTGCAGTTCTGCACCACAACATAGTGTTCAACTTAGAAAAGGGTAAGAAGTATGTTCGTTGTGCTTTTCTGGACTATACTTCAGCTTTTGACTCTATACCAAGACAACGTTTACTTAACAAGTTAATCAGCGTCAACACTGACAGCTGGATAACCAACTGGCTATGTTCCTACCTCTCTGGAAGGGAACAGTACACTGTGTTTGGAGGAAAGTGTTCGGAGTCTCTACTGTCTCAGGAAGGTGTACCACAAGGAGCTGTTCTTTCACCTCTTCTATTCTCTTTTTTTCTGCATGACCTGCCATCTTCCACAGAAAACACTTTTGTGAAGTATGCGGATGATCTCACTGTATGTATGCCTATATCTTCCTCTTTACATCCCGTAGAAATGAATGAGTTTTTGTCTCGTATTGATTGTTGGTCTGTTGGTAATGGTCTCATACTTAATCCGTCTAAATGTCAAGCTGTCAACTTTAGCATGAGACATGAACGGAATATAAACACCATTTTGAGATCCCATAATGCTTGTGCCATCGGAGACTCTTTCATAAACTCAGTGTCGAAGGTCAATTATCTTGGTGTCACCTTTCCCTCTGATCTGTCTTGGTCTTCCCACGTTTTATCGTTATCGAAGAAGGTTTTCCGTCTGACCTACTACATAAAGAGATTGCATGCTCTTGGGATTACTCGTCATTTACTCTTACAATTTGTCAATTCTTGCATTTTACCTATTATTCTTTACTGTTCTCCATTATTCTTTCCCGGGCTTTTGAGAAAAGACTTTGCTGTATTGCGAAGAGTGCTGAAGGCAGTTAGCAAGATGTGTGGTGAATCTTTCGAGGCCATAATTAATATGGTTGTGGATAGACATTTAAAATCATGCAAACTCCTGGCAGGTGTTATTTTATCAGATACTAGCCATCCCCTTCACTCTTATCTTTCTCCTTGTATATCTTCTGGTAGAACGAGACGTAATTACATTAAAATCCATGCACGTAAGGAAAAGTATAAAAGTTCTATAATACCTTACCTAGCAAATATACTATGTGACGAATAGGTTGTTAGAAATAACCTAGTTAATAATTTACATTCTTAACATGTCTTTAATTTTAAAAAGTTTGCACAGTTTTTTTTTGGTCTTTTTTTTTTAAAATTTATTTTAAAAAAAATTTCTTTTTGTATTTTCTACTGCCTATTTGTTCGTTTTTTTTTCAGTAAGTAACTTGTTGAAATACCCTGTGCTGAGAATTCTATATTGTACCAAAATATAATATTGAATAAAGCCATTAATAATAATAATAATAATAATAATAATAATAATAATAATAATAATAATAATAATAATAGTAATAATAATAATAATAATGATAATAATGTGTCAATTGAAGCTCGACCACCATTGAAAATCTGGAAGCGCTAGATGGCTGTTTCGTTCTAGTATGGGACTCCTCATCGGTGTGTACCCATGATCCCGCTCCGCGAGATTCGAACATTTATTTATTGTAACTTGCAGAATTAAAATAGACTAAACATAAACTATTGAACTGTTTTCAATATTATCTCTTGTTCAATAAATAAATATGAAAGGATAAACTACCATTAGTGATTATATGGTCGTTTAAAAGACCATGCCAAAGGTTTTAATAGATTATATTAACAATTTATCCTAGTTTTGTTTATTTATAAAGCTATAAATGTTGCTGTAAAAGAGTATAAACTTGTGCAAAAATAGTGAATAATTTTCTATTTATTATTATGTATAGAGTCAAGTGTGTATAAAGTAGAAGTTCTATTCTACCACTATCCTATCACAACAACTCAAGAAGAAGTATAACATTGAACAATCAAAATGTTTACAAAACAAATTCTTATTCAAAGAATGTACTTGAAAGAAATAAAAAAGATTGAATAGGATAAATACAGTAATTGAAAACAAAATCAATATAGATATGCATATACTATTTAAAGTTGTGATTAACCTAACTGAAGAACCATTGAATATTAAAGAAGATAATTAAACTTAAAACCAATATCTTAATGTTTATTAGTAAAAGAAAAAAGTATATATCATCATAAATAGAATGACTGAATAACCGAAGTAATTCAATTTAAAAGAGAATGAATAACAAACATTTCAAATAGGTTGGAACTTATTTTACATAAATATTTATCAGGAATAAGTGTTTGTTGTCATTGACAATAAAGATCTTCGTCTTAACGTTTTTCTGAATTTCATACTTCATATAATATACAAAAGAAACATCTCAGTATTCAAAGACACATATAATGGAAAGTGTTTGTAATCTGATTAAAGATCGATATACCAGTCTATAAAATTCACTATAATCCTATATACGAAAGTTTTCTGTTTTAAAAGCCTAATCAATATGCTTCTATTAAATTGCTTATAAATATAACATAATTTGGAATTAGATATAATCCATTGTTCTCTATCTCTTACTTTTTCTATAATTCAGGCATTTGTTTTAGCTTGCATTTATCCAAATATGCCACAATTTGGTGGCAATACAAATACAATTTCAACAGGTTCTAGTACATCATTGGATTCTTATCTATATAATCGTGAACAATCAGTAGAAGATGAAGAGAATCTTTCTAAAGAACTATGTACACCAAGTTTATGGTCAATACATTTTCAACCAGATCAAGCGATCACATATACAGATCAACAAATTGGTGATATGCATGCTAGTGAATCAATTATAAAAGAGAATAGTGAGACAAGTGCAATGAAAATATTCAATACAAATTCTAAAAGTGAATTCTTTCCTAAATTTGCTAATAGTGCAGATATTTTCACTATAACATTAATTATAATCATTGCAACTCTTAGTATAATTGCTACAATATGTACTGCTATTGGATGTTTAATGAGGTAAGTAAACTTCTCTATCTTGTTCTTTCATTTATTTTAACTGTAAAAATATCAACATATAAATAAGAAAGAGAATATAGATGTACATTATAGGAAAATCATAAATAATGACGGAACAAATGTTTACCACTCACTGGTTTCGATAGGAAACTTTCTCTACATCCAAATAAAACGTATTACTGATTGTCATTTTTTGTAAAAAAAAAATAATAAATTATAGATAAGATTATAATTTATGGATGATTTAATGAAATTAAGGTTAGTAGGTCTTGGATTTGGGCATGAAATTCATTCATTCATATAGTTAAATATCATTTTTGGGATTATAGCTGATGTCATTTCGTTATGAAAACCTTTACTTTAATTCACAACCATAAATTCTAAATCCAAATCCTAATTTTTCATATGAATTTGTAGCTCTCTTTTAATACTAGTGAGTAGAATAATTGTCTCAATGTCACTTTAGCGTCGCTTAAAGATCGTCAATAAATCATAGTCCTACCGAATTATAGAATGATACTTGACCAATAATGAATTATAAAATGAATTACATTTTAGTCAAGTTAACAGAACAACTGAACAGGATGAAATCGAGATTAAACGTTGAAAATATGAATAATTTTGAAATTGACAATGAAATCATAACAAGTTGTATACATAAAATATTAATTACAATTCTGTAACTAAATGAATAACGCGATGGCGTTTAAAATGAACGGCCCTGAGTTCGAGTCCCGGAGTGAACATCAACTCTGAGATGCAGGTACATCCAGCTGACGAGTTCTAAATGGGACGAAACGCGCATCCTGGATCCTACTGCTAGCCACTTTGTAATTGAAGATATACTAATAATGATGTCTTGTCATATGTTTTGAAAGATATAAAGAAATAACTGCCTAAAATTGAGTTATATGATCTTGTGGTACTGAAAAACTATTATATTTTCTCTTTCGAAAGAATTTGATCAGGTTTAAACAAATTGATCATTTTTTATGCCGGTAAGAATATATCATTACTAGTCTACAGTAATGTATACACAATATGATAAGACGTTGTATCACTCAACGTTCAATTACATTAAAGTTTATTTCTGATTGTCGTATTTAAGAAATTCATTACTAGATGACAGCTGGTGATGAAACTTTTCTATTTTTCTCGTCCAACTCATCGCCGATGAGTTTACAGTCTATTAGTATTCGAAGTGTGTTGAAGGAAACTTGATCAACTACCAAAGTTATGGAACCTGATTTTTCATCCTTGAACGACTAGTTTTGATATAATTTAGATTATTATGAAAATGCATATAGCGTTCATATTATTTTACATTATATGTCTATAACACTGAATATTAATTATCTATCTCTTATAACCAAAGAAGTACTATTCATTTGGCGTAAACACGGTTTATTTACTTATGATTTAATTGTACAGAAGACGTCGAACTAAACCTATGGATAATGATATGTCAATCACCTTAACACCATCAGATGGAATGTTAAAAACTCCATTAATGCCTCAATCAGTTCAGAATTTTTCAGGTACCAACGGAGCTATTGAACATGAACCAACGGATCCGGATACACCAGGTGAGAAATTCTTTTTAATTGGATTTACTAACCACAATTATTTGAAATGTATATTCATACGCTTATTTTATTGAAAAGAGCAAGAACAAAGATTCTAGCAGGATTCATTTTATTTCATAGGTTCTCGTCAGCTGCTTACAATCTGTGAGATTTGAAATCATAACATAATGGGTTTAAATTAGATGAGAGGTTTGGTTCGAAGTTATATTGAAGACATATTCGTACAGTATAGCAAGGGTGTAAATAAAATTAATAGACTGAATACTGTAAATATATATATCTCATGTGAAAGAACATTCTACAACATTGATTATGACAACAGTTCAAACGGCTAGAATCAAGTGATTACATGATGAGTAAACATTGATAGTACTACAGCGAGTAGGGCTCAGTTGATAAAATAAGATTATTAATTTGGAAGATAGTTGTAATCAAACTCTATGATATAATAAATGCAGAAAAGAGTTTAAAGAAAAAGAGAAACTTCTTCTTATTTACTTACTTGCCCATGTTACCCCTAATGGAGCATAAGCCACCGACCAGTATTATCCAACCCACTCTATCGTGGCCCCTCCTTTCTGGTTCTATTCATTTGTTGCTCATTCTTTTCATGTCTGTCTCGAATTTCTGTGTGTAATATGTTCTTTGGTCTTCCTCTTCTGCTTTGGCCTTGAGGATTTCAAGTAAGAGCTTGCCTTGCGACGCAGTTGAGTGCTTTCCTCAATGTGTGTCCTATCCACTTCCAGTGCTTCTACCTGCTTTTTTGCTCCACTTGAATCTGGTTTATTCTCTCTCACAGTAGGTTGTTGCTGATAGTGTCTGGGCAACGGATCTTGACTTTTATAATATTTGTTAGTTCTGAATTCTTTCAATATATTTCACTCATATTTACTTGTTTCTAATTAAAAATGCTGTAAACAATACACAGAGAATAAACGAACATAAACACCTTATGAGTTTGTGAATGTGTTTTACAACAGTAAAAAGTATGTTGAAGAAACAATAGTAGCTTTTGTTAGCTGCTTACAATTTTAATCCAATGAAAAAGAATTCTTAATCTGATTGTCATAAACAGCGTTTCGTTAAATAGCTGAAGTGATAATTACTATTCATGTTGTAATGTGTATTTGAGATCATTAGAAGTGTATTCTAGGAAACCTGAAACAAACTGATACAGAATTTATTGACAATTAAAAACATTAGTTAAGCAGTAACTGTAACATAATCTATACAAGATTTAAACAAATTTAAATATGTTACTTACTTACTTACTTACTTACTTACTTACTTACTTACTTACTTACTTACTTACTTACTTACTTACTTACTTACTTACTTACTTACTTACTTACTTACTTACTTACTTACTTACTTACTTACTTACTTACTTACTTACTTACTTACTTACTTACTTACTTACTTACTTACTTACTTACTTACTTACTTACTTACTTACTTACTTACTTACTTACTTACTTACTTACTTACTTACTTACTTACTTACTTACTTACTTACTTACTTACTTACTTACTTACTTACTTACTTACTTACTTACTTACTTACTTACTTACTTACTTACTTACTTACTTACTTACTTACTTACTTACTTACTTACTTACTTACTTACTTACTTACTTACTTACTTACTTACTTACTTACTTACTTACTTACTTACTTACTTACTTACTTACTTACTTACTTACTTACTTACTTACTTACTTACTTACTTACTTACTTACTTACTTACTTACTTACTTACTTACTTACTTACTTACTTACTTACTTACTTACTTACTTACTTACTTACTTACTTACTTACTTACTTACTTACTTACTTACTTACTTACTTACTTACTTACTTACTTACTTACTTACTTACTTACTTACTTACTTACTTACTTACTTACTTACTTACTTACTTACTTACTTACTTACTTACTTACTTACTTACTTACTTACTTACTTACTTACTTACTTACTTACTTACTTACTTACTTACTTACTTACTTACTTACTTATTACTTATTTACTTACTTATTTACTTACTTATTTACTGGATAGGGAGTGAAGTAGTCGAACGCGTTGACAACTTCACTTATCTTGGAAGTCTGATCAGCCCTAATGGGTTGGTATCGGACGAAATCTCAGCACGGATTCGAAAAGCTCGTTTGGCTTTTGCCAACTTACGTCACCTGTGGCGAAGGCGAGATATCCGTCTATCAATAAAAGGACGAGTATACTGCGCGGCAGTCCGTTCTGTTTTACTTTACGGTAGCGAAACATGGCCATTAAGAGTAGAAGACACTCGCAAGCTGCTAGTATTTGACCACAGATGCCTTAGAAATATTGCTGGCGTCTGCTGGGATAATCGAGTAAGTAATAGTGAGGTTAGACGCAGGGTATTAGGAAAGGATGGTAAATCAGTTGATGAGGTTATGAATCTTCATCGACTGAGATGGTTGGGCCACGTGTTACGTATGCCTGAACACCGATTACCACGACGTGCAATGCTATCCGGTGTTGGGGATGGTTGGAAGAAAGTTAGGGGCGGCCAAACCAAAACGTGGCATCAGTGCTTGAAGTCACTAACTTCTAGTCTGAGCCATGTTGGTAGATGCAGACTACTTGGTTGGGGTCCGCGTGACTATCGTAACCAATGGTTGGAGACTCTTGGTGACATGGCTCAGAATCGATCACAATGGCGTAGGTGTATACACTCGGTTTCTTCCCTTAAACTAAGAGATTAAAAGCGCTTCATATCTTTCTTTCTACTAACCAATTCTTTCTTCTTGTACTATATCTCTATATACAATCTTTCTCTTATATATTACCACCTTTTACCTAACCACTGTTATGAATCTGGTGTTCATCTTGTTGTGCTGATGCGGTATGGCAACCTGGACCGATGCACATAAGTGCATGGTTCTACGTTGTAACTGACTGACTGACTACTTATTTACTTACTTATTTACTTACTTATTTACTTACTTATTTACTTACTTATTTACTTACTTATTTACTTACTTACTTACTTACTTATTACTTATTTACTTACTTATTTACTTACTTACTTACTTACTTACTTATTTACTTACTTACTTATTTACTTACTTACTTATTTACTTACTTACTTACTTACTTACGCCTGTTACTTTCAATGGAGCATAGGCCGCTGACCAGCCTTCTCCAACCCATTCTGTCCTTGGCCTTCTATTCTAATTCCATCCAATTCTTGTTCATTTCTCTCATGTTTATCTCCATTTCCTGGCGTAATGTGTTCTTTGGTCTTCCTCTTTTCCTTTGGCCTTGAAGATTCCATGTGAGGGCTTGTCTTGTGACGCAGTTGGAAATATGTGGTCGATTGAATTTCACAATGAACTCAATGTCAATTTAAAATGTAAATGAGCTAGCCAATAACGAATTAGAAGAAGATTAAAATATTTAACAAAAAGAAATTCACATTACCATAACAACGATCAAATTGTTAACTATTTTATTCTGCATAAATAAATTCAATTTGATACTATGGGTTGAAAATATTTCATTATGATGAAATTAAATTGTATTCTTTAACCTCAATCATTAATTTTAGGGTAAAATAATCTGAGCACATTTTCAGTTGTATGTATGGATAAAATAGATATCTTAATTTAATATTTACAACACATAAATCATTTAAAAGATGTATGGGTCAGGATATTGGAAAATTTATGTACTCAGAAACATCTTATTATGAAGGTTATTTTCGTTTCATTTTTGTATGGGTTGTCTCAATCTTCTCATTGATGTTTAGGAGTAAAATTGATCAGTCTCTTATTGATATATGAGTATCCTATGTGAATTACCTCGATATTGCTTTAAGGGTGCACATATGTCAATAAAATAGTGATCAAGCGTTACCCTAAACATCACTGGGAAGATTCAAACAAACATTACAAAAAAAATTAACACTTCATCCTATTGGACAAGTTAGTGGCTATCACGACCCAATAGCCAAGTGATTAACGTGATGAAGTTCGAAGTAAATGGTACTGAGTTCGAGTCTTGGGGTGAACATCAATTTTAGGATGCAAGTACACCCAGGTAATGAGTCCCAAATAGGATGAAACACGCGTCCCGGATTCCACGGCTAACCACCATTCATCTTTGCTTATGAATATATTATCATTTCAAATGATATACAATAGTCAAAATTTACCTCCATATTGTTCTTAAACCCATCCTACAATAATGACATTTAGCAATAAATCAAGAAGTTATCGGAAAACACTAGTTCAATAATGAGTTTAGCTGTAGTTCACTTTAATCAAATTACTTGTGTTAACAATTTGCTTTCTACATTTATCATGTTGAATAACAATAAATTTTACAAAAAGAAAAAAAGAGAAAAGTTCTTGTCAAAGTGATTTATTTGATGTATATCTTATTCGGTATGTTTACTTCTTTAACTGAATGACTTGATAGTCACTTCAATTTATGCATATTTGAAGTTTATTTTAGTCTAAATAACTAAATTTGAACTATTCAATTTATTCATCAGTAATTCTTGTCATTTTTCCAAACAAACATAGTTCGATTTTATCAGGGTTAAGGATTCTTAAATGATTCATTCAATGTTACTGTTAGATTTATCTTGAATGTGTATATATTTAACGGTGAATAACATTCCACATAAGAATTTTCTTCTAATTTATCAAAAGATATATAAGTTTTGAGCTGTAATGTATTTTTGATTAATACAGCTGGATAGTATTAAATCTAATAGTAATTAGAAGTTTTCCGTTTGATTTGTTACTTTTTCTTTAATAATATTGTTGTGCACATAACAGAAATATTGTGTTGTGTTCTACTTATATCGACATAAGTAGTACATAACGCTAATCAGGAATAGAATGCCTGGCGGCAGAAGAGTGAAAAGATCGAGGAGGGAAGAAAGGGGATAGAAAACAATTGGTATGAAAATGCAGGAACCATGAAATCTGAGACAACTGATGAACTT